AAAACACCGCAATCCTTGTAGTTCTGCTGTTGGTTTACTTTCAGCATGTAAACTCTTTTAAGTAGGTTCTTAATGACATTTTGATAACATTGGCTTACCTCTAGAGTTGAGCGTACCGAACATTACGATTTTTGGACCCCGGACCCGAACACGGACATATCACTGTATGTTCGAGTTGGAGTTCGGTGTTCGTCAATTTAATGGCGCGGTTTGAAAGGCTGCAGGGCAGCCAATCATCAAGCGTTTGACTCGTGTGCCCTTAGAAGCCATCACAGCCATGCCTACTAATGGTTACTTATTATTATTAAATTATGCCCCTACTCGCTATGCCGCGAGTAGGGGCATGTTTATTAAACAGTGAGCAGCCTGTGGCTGCTCACTGTTTTAAAAAAAAAAAAAAAAATTCCTATTGCCCCCCCCCCCCGGTCCCCACCCCTGAGCGGCGGGTGGGGGCCCTAAATACCAATAAGAAGGGACCTATTGTCCTCCCCTCTCAGCCCCCAGCCCTGAGCACCAATAAGGGAAGGGACCTATTGTCCTCCCCTCTGGCACCCATCCCTGAGTGGTGGGTGGGGGCCTTAAAAATCAATAAGGGGGGACCTATTGTCCTAAACCCCGGTCTCCCTTAGCGGTGGGTGGGGGCCCTAAATATCAATAAGGGGGGGGACCTTATGTCCTACCCCTTGGCCCCCACCCCTGAGCAGAGGGTGGGGACCTAAAATAAAAATTTAACCCCCCCAGGTGACTAGGGGTCCCCAAACACCTAGTCACCACCCTCCCCCAAAATAAATAACCCCTACCTATCCCCCTCATCCTAAAAATAATGAGGGAGGACCCTTATCTAAATACCTGTAAAAAAAAAAATAGACTTACCATTTGATGTCTTCTTTCTTCTAAACTCTTTTTTTCAGCCCCAAAAAGGGCCAAATAAAAATCCATAATAACCGATGCACTTTAAAAAAAAAAAAAATGAGCGCAAACAAATTATCCATTTTCACCCATAGAGGGCTCCGCGCAGACTGAGCTCTACAGGGCTGGGGAAGGCTTATAAAGCCTTGCCCCACCCTGCAATTAGGCTCAGAGCATTCTGATTGGTGGGTTTAAGCCATCCAATCAGTGCTCTGACAGGTAAATGAACAGACTGACAGGTAAGTCTCTACATTTACCTTTCACAGCACTCTGGTTGGCTTGAAATCCAGCCAATCAGAGTTATCTGTGTCATTTTGCACAGCATGGGAAAGTTCTTTGGAATTTTCCCACGCTGTGTAATTTGACTCATAACTCTCTGATTGGTTATTTTTAGTTGTGAATACCGCCTCTTGCGTGATAGATCTAACAAAAAAACTGTTGATCTTACCTGATCTAACGAATATCTACCTAAATCAATTTTAAAAAATTCTAATTTTAGTTGTAGGGGGGCTAACCGTAGTCACGCCCACAAAGTTAAGTAGTTAATACCGCCTTATGTGTGATAGATCTAACAAAAAAAAAAGTTGATCTTACCAGATCTAACGAAAATCTACCAAAGTCAATAAAAGAAAATTCAAATTTCACTTGAGGAGGGGCTAACCCATAGTCAGGCCCACAAAGTTAAGTAGTAAACACCGCCTCTTGCGTGATAGATCTAACAAAAAAAAACCTGATCTACGAATATCTACCAAAATCAGTAAAATGTTGTCCAAATTTCAGTTGAGGGGGCCAGCCCCCTCTAATTATATATGCAATATCTCTGTAATTAGACTAGATCTAACAAAAATTTTGCCTGATCAAACCTGATCTAACATAGAGCTATCATAATCAACAACATTTTGTATAAATTTTTGTTGAGGGGAGGCTGGCTATGGTTAGCCCCCTCTGAAAATGATTGTTAATATTGCATATTTTAGAGTAGATCTAACAAAAAAAATTGTTGATCAGACCTGATTTAACAAATGGAATAATCTTTTGTTAAAATTCTCAATATGGGGGGGGGGGTCTAACCCGGGGGTGGTAGCAAGCTGACATGTTTTTATATTTTTGATGCTTGACTATTTCCTTGCTATCACCGACCATCTTTTTGTTTGCCATCAAACCTGTTTTAAAGAAAATCTAACTGATGAGGGCAATGGAATGAAAGGTATGAGTTATATTTGTTGATAGGAGAGGAGATGTTTTGTGGAGTTTTGTAGGTTAGTGTTAGCAGTTTGAATTGGATGCTGAAGAGTATAGAAAGTTAGTGTAGTGATTAGCAATGTTGTGAGGTGTGGGAGTAGTGGTCAGTCAAGAAGATTAGCATCCTTTGTTTAAACTATAAATACATAACTATTGAGGCTTTTGCCCATATTATTTCTTTTCGAAATCTTAAAATCTCTTTGGGAACTCAATGATTTTTCCATTCTCTAAGTAAGAGATCAGGTGTTTCCTCATTTGCCAATGAAGGTATTTGCATGTGGAGTTCCTTCCACTCAGCAACTCAAAGGCATTTGCTATTGCAAAAACACCAAAATCTTTTTAGTTTGGCTATTGGTCCACTTTCAGCATCTGAACTATTTTGTGAACTCTAGGTTCTTAATTATATTTCCATAACATTGGCTTATTTCTCTTCTGGAGAGAGGTGTGATTTTCTCAAGTCAGCAACATCAACCATTAATTTTTTTAAAAGATGTTGTGAACCAGTGTTGGCAGTGTGTATGATAATAGATTTGAACAGCCTCCCCGGTCACAGTCTTCATGCCACATTGTGCCACTAAGCCATCCATGTCGAATTGCTTTTGCAAAAGAATTTGGACAGCATCTATTCTAGTCATCCAAGCACTTGTTCATTATTTTATTTTTTTTCAATATTTCTTTATTTAATTTTTTCTTTTTGTACAGAATACAAACAATACATACAAAATCCAGCTATTCATTCTACAGGACAAATGTTCTCTAGTCATGATACAGTATAACTTATTTATTTTACAGCCCCTATTTGACTCATATTAATAAAATATACTAAACTTCAGACAGTGAGGCAAGAAAACACCATACAAAACAACTTTAAACTTAAACAAACAGTACATTCACACAATCAGAGCAGGTTGATATTCTTATATTTTCTAAGTTAATATATGGAGATATTAGTTTCAGAGTTTATTTTATCAATTGATTTTATATGATTATTTAGAAGATCCTTTTCCATAGATAGTTGGAATTTAATTTGATTTTTAAAAAAAGGGTTTTTTTGGAAAGAAAGTGACGATGGGCTCCAATTCCTGGCAATTATAATCTTGGATGCAACAATACATATATCACTACTAGTTTTGAGATTCCATTTCATATGCAGAAGAGCCGTTGCCGGGCAATTATTTATTTTGTGGTCTATTAATTTTTGATACAAATTAAAGACCAAAGGGCTTAACTATAGGGCATGACCACCATATATGAATAAATTAGCCTACATCATTCCCGCAGCGCCAACAAGTGGAATCATAACCTTAATGCATCCTAGATATTCTCGTGGGAGTTAAATACCACTTATGAACAACTTTAAAGTGGCATTCAACTAAATTTAAACAGTGAATATTTTTATATATTTGAGAAAAGGATAAACACCACTCTTTATCAGATATTGTTATGTTCAGATCTTTTTCCCAGGATTTTATAATTTTACCTGAATTATCACTTAAGACATCTATAATATGATTAGCTTTAGATGTAACTTTATTTACTGGCTTATAATCGAAAATTCTTTCTAGTTGAATCGTAATGTCTCGGTGTTTTCATTAACTTTGTTTCTAAAAATTTTTAATTCTTAAGTAAGTAAGGATCTCTTTATTCGGAATTTTAAACTTTTCCATAATATCTTGAAATGAGATCAGCTTGTCTTTGTGTACTCTTTCTGAAAGCCTGTTTTTATTTGGCCAATTCTTGAGTGACAAATCTTCCATGTTATGTTCTAATACACTTAATCTGCAAGATTTTGGTACACATTGTGTAATTCCTAAGGCTTTTTTAATTTCTTCCCAGGCTTGTATTGTCTGGGAAAGAACTATAGATTTAGTTAATATGTGATTAGTATGTTTTTTACTGCTATTATTCCACAGATCATATTCAAGTTTGCTGATTTCCACAGCTTCTGATTCTATAATGAACCAGGGTCCTAATATCAATTGATCATCTTGAAGCTTGTATTCATGTGTAATCATATTTGAATAGTAAATGTGTTTTATGTTAGGGAAAATTAAGCCATCTTTTTAAATTTTCTTAGATAAAACTTTTAGACTTATTCTTTTAGACTTATTCCTTTTATTTTTCCATATATATGCAGAGAAGCTAGCTTGTATCAAATCTAACCAACTTTTTGGCATTCTAAAAGGTAGCATCGAAAATAAATATGACCACTTTGATGGTATATATGAATTAATGGTGTTAATTTTCCCTAACCATGATGTCTCAATGTTTTTCCAATTTTTTAAAGATGTATTTGTATTTTTTTAATAATCTCATCACATTAATTTCCATAGTGCTTGTTACCTTAGCCGGGATTATTACCCCTAAATAATTAATTTCTTTATTTGTCCAAGTAAATTTATATTCTTGACTTAATTTCTTCACAATGGAATTCTCTATGTTTTTATACATAGCTGTTGTTTTCATAATATTTAGTTTATAATTTGAGACTAAGCTGTATTTATTAATCGCTAGCATCACACATGGTAAAGATTGTTCTGGAGAAGTAATCATTATTATTGTATCATCCGCGTGAAGAGAGATCTTGATCTCTCTGGTTTTTGTATAAAATCCTCTAATAACTTGGTTATCTCTAATATTAATTGCGTGTGGTTCTACGGATAAAATGTATAATAATGAAGACAGAGGACATCCCTGTCTTGTCCCATTCTTCAAATCGAACCATTCTTCAAATTGTTGTTCATTATAATGTCCTCATGCAAATTGGAAAAGACAATATACAATTTTGTCTATAATAGCACAAACTGTAGAAATGTAATGCAAACATGAAATTCTTTAACTTGTACGTACATACATATTAATCAATGTAAATTGTTAAATGATGTGTTAAATAAGAATAGTGACTTGCACTTGTGTTTTCTTGCCAGATCACTATGTTGCTGTTTGTTAGGCAAAATGTGGAAGAAGGACTGAAAACCTTGAAAAGCTTCCTCTTCTTTGCAAAGAACAATGTAAACCTCAGCCTGAGCCTCAATGGTTTAAATCATGTATTCCTTAATGGATATTGAAATGGCTTTTCATTGTATGAATAATTGGACATTTTTCTGGACATATTTAATGTTTCCAAAAATGACTCTAGCTGCTATGAGGAAGGGTTTAATGTGCTGAACATATTTCCAAAAATCAGTATCAATCTCCAGGATGAAGATGACTACGAATGGTTTCTTTTAAAATGGTGTGGATCTGAGGATGTCTGGAAGTGTGGGACGAAATAAATGCATCTATTCCTCTCACTGATAATGATAATTTTCCAGATACATAAGCTCTTTATACTCTAGTTCAGTTAATGGATTGGGTTATGCATGATGTGGATTCTTGTTCTTTAGAATGTATGCCAGATGAACCTACACATGTTGCATGCAGAGAACCAGAAACACATGAAAAATAATTCATGAAAAGTGAAAACAGCACAGTATATAGGTGTAAAGATCTTAAGCCTATAGTCAGTCTTACAATTAATGCACATCAGTATCTTTTTTAGAATGTTGTACATTTCAATTGTTTACTCCCCTCCAGTGATTGCTGTAATTTGGTAGAATATTCCTTGGGTTGTAGATTTAGACAGTAATGTAGGTCAATATTGAATGACTCTTTCTGACCATGAATCAATATAGAATAAATAGTAATCTGTATGGTCACAGATGTATGACCAGAATTAGGTTTGGCTCCAAAATTCAAGTTAAAGTAAAGATTATGGGCTTAAAAGTGTTCAGACAGCCACTGTAGTCCTTGTCAAAGTGAAAGATAGTGGTGAACATATTTTTTGATATGACACTGCAAACTTTCTTTAAATAGAATATAGTTATAAGAACCATCCTAGTATCACTTTCATTCAAGCCCTTGGATCCCTGGTATGTGATGTGCCAATGCATATAAATTTACCTATAATGCTAGGAAAAAGGAAGTTATACAACATATTGGTTTAAATACCCAATCTGGGGATTGGCTAAAATGTATGAAAATCCAACTATGTCACTTTTTAAACCAATCCACCTTTTATCTGGTTATAATTTAAATATGCTTATTACCACGTGACAGCAGGGACTACACATGACACTTGTAACCTCCTTGATAGAGACCCTGGACTATATATACCATTCGTGAAAAAGAGAAGGATTTCCTGTTGGGGTCAACTTTTTCTTTTGCAACAGACTACACTTCTCAGCCCAGGTAATAGATAAAATCTTAGGAGAAAAACACTTGAGAGCAGTATTTCTTAATGGAAATGGTGTAGAAAATTTTTAAGCAAAGTTTAGCAGCTTAGCATCTGCAAGAATAAAGGGATTAAATATGGTCCTAAGTCAATCAATGGGTTTATCTAATCTAATTGCTTGATCACTATGAAGGGCAGAAAACATTGATTTTTTTTTTTCTGTAAAAGGTAATTAAGGCTTCTACATCTGGTTTAATTAATTGTTAATTAAATGATGCAACTGTTGCCCTTCACTTAGTTGTATTGTTTTTGTTCTGATTTATTTTTATTTATTTTTTTGTTGTTTTGTTACCTATGCAAACAGAAAAAGAGAATAAACAGTGGATGTACAGTTTTATATCTAATGTTTAGTGTGTAACTTTAATGAAAGTCCTATTAACAACAACTTCTTTTGGTATTTAAGTGGCACAAGTACTAAGTCATGAATCTCCAGTCTAGCTAATCCTATATAACCTGGTATTCCCACATACAATTAGCTTGCACTTCCTGCTTAATTGCTGCCACCCAGTTAGTCAGGACTTCTTTACTCGCAACTTTATTTTTACTTTGTTACTAACACGCAAAAATGTGCAGCTGTTCTATATGCCATGGTGTATTACCTGTTTATACTACGCTTGATATAGCTGGTGTGGCATAGTTAGCATATCTGTAAATTATTCAAAAAATTGTGCAGTTTCTCTAAATGTCATGACCATATTTAATACCGTTTGTTATTGCTGTGCTTGTTACTGCTGTTGTGGCTGCACAAGCTCTTTTTGTCATCATTTGCACAACAAAAACAAAGAATATAGAAGAGAAAAGGGATAAAGAACAAAGAAAGAAAAGACAAGAGATATGCCTGTGCCACCCCTCTGTAAATAGCTCTTAATGCAAAGTAATGCCCAGCAATATAGACTTTGTCTATAACACTCATTTTGCGGAATAATGAACAAGTGACCAGACAACATATAAAATTAATTCAACAAGCTATTTAAGTCTTGCTTTATCTCAAGTTTCAGGTTAAACCTACATTGATTTGGTAATATAGCTAAGCTGGGTCTATCCAAAGTCTACGGGCCGTATCTCAATACGAAGTGCCCAACCCATTTTCTAACACAAGGAAATGTAACTCACCCTTTGGATGGCACCTTACCTAGTCATGATACTCCCAGTGTACTCCTTCTAATCATAGTGTTTGGCACTTAAATTCTCTGTTCAAGAGAAATGGAGGTATCCTTCTCCTTATTATTTTTCCCCCTGGCCACCACTTACTCCTCTTCAAATGACCAAGTTTGGAGGCAGATGTTGCCTATTTTTTTTTTTTTTGCCAACGATGGAAACGTTTTATTAATTTTTTTGGGGGGTGGGGATCCTACTGACCTTTGGAAATTATACATAGCCATGTTATACTTGACAAACGTTTGTTTTGTTTTACTTATGTTGTATCGTTAAATGCAAAAAAGTGAATGTGAATGCTTCATGTACACTCTTGACTCTGTATCTGTTCCATGACAAACTTCCTGTAGCTGAAATTATGCTTGACATATGTGTTGTATTTAACATTCACAATAAAAAAGTGTTTACTTTAAAAAAAAAAAAAGAAATTGATATATTTTTCAGGTTTGATTCTGATAAAAGAAGTATATAGAGGAATGCATACAGTTACCATAGGGCAAGGATATGGTAATAAGTAGTTATGTCTTATAAATCACCAAAACGGATAATATTCTAGATAATGTCCCTGAGAGTGCTGAGATTTGGATGATGTTATAGTTTACACCAGCGTTTCCCAATTACTGTTGTGGTTCCATGGCGATTTGCCCATCGGGTGGCCTGAGCATTTAGGGCCACCCGATGGGTATCGCTAAACAGGGGTCCAGTCAGGCGCCGCGGCCGTCTAAGACCGCGAATGGTCCCCTGTTGAATGGGATGCTGGGAGGAAGTGCCAGCACATCTTCCCAGACAGACCGTGCCGGCTGGTGGGAGAGAGGGAGCAGGGGGGACTGAGCAGCACACCATGCTCAGCCAGCAGCACTGAAGCACCTAAATTTGAGGAAAATTTGCAAAGGATCTTGAAGAAATGCAGTTTGGTTATTATAGCTCGATAGAAGATGATTTAACTGATCTTAAACAGGAGATCATAAAAATGAAAGAGGGATAGAGAAAGAGTGTCAGGTTGCTAGAAGAGATTGGGGGATAACCCCTAGTACATAACAATTACAGAAAAAGGATACAGAGAAGCCCAGAGGATACAATGTATAGTAAGCAACCCTTAACGTAGTAAAACCTAACTTTTAATAAATAGTTTAAAAATTACACATAATATTTGTATATGTTTATAATAGGGTTAATCCAGCCCTCAAATCCTCTAATGGTTGTCTCACTGACAGCCGCTAGAGGCGCTTGCGTGCTTCTCACTGTGAAAATCACAGTGAGAAGACCCCAGCATCCATAGGAAAGCATTTACAATGAGACCGGCTGAATGCGCGCGCAGCTCCTGCCGCACATGCGCATTCAGCCCAGGAGGCGGAGAGGAGGAGGAGAGCTCCCGGCCCGGCGCTGGAGAAAGGTAAGATTTAACCCCTTTCCTCTCCCCAGAGCCCGGCAGGAGGGGGACCTTTCCTGGCACTATAGTGGTCCTTTAAGCACCAGGAAATATTTTTAGTGCAGCCCTTTTTTCCTATGAGAGAGTAATCTTTGCTATAGAGGCGTAAATTTAAAATATGTTTTGTAAAATAAATAAATGGGCTAGTAAATGGTGTTCAGTTATAAGCAAAACAATAAGAGAACTTGGTGTACAAATGCGTATGTTTACGTGCAATACAAGAAAGTATTTTCTTTTTGTGCACTGTTCCTTAATCTGAGTTTTCTCAGTTGTATCTGCAGCAAACACGTGATATTGCACAAACTTCTAAAAAAAAAAAAAAAAAAAAGGTCTTGGACAGGTCTAAATGCTGTATGTTTATCATACTTTCAATGTTATAGGAGATAAGCAGGTATGCAGATATTGCTTCATTTAGAGAAGAGATTTAGTGCTGACCAGTCTGTTTAAGAAAAGTTGAGCAGTGTCTTAAATGTCATATTGGCAACCTCCATCAGAGTCCCTTTCTTGCAAGCTACTGTCTCGGCATACTGTTGAAGGTCTTGGTCCAGTGGAAACAATTGATTTTGAGTGCCTTAAATTAAATTTAAAAAATAACAATAAAATTAGCATCACATCTGTTTAATTTACTTTATGATAATATCATCTATAGTGTAACAAATCCAGTATCATTCTGGGGATAAAACAATGCATGTTATAGAAGTGTCGTAAAAATACAAAATATTGCCAGGACTGATTACTGACAACATTAGCATGGTAAGTTCAATACACCGAAATAGAAATACATTAAAATACTTCATGTGTATATGTTAACTACCTGGGGAGGAGCGTAAAAAAAAAAGGAAATCTGGTTTTCCAAAGTGGCCATCCGTTAATGCTTGCTTCCATATTTTATGGCTGTTCCATGCAATGCGGTCACGGTCAAGCTCTTTTTCAATAAGTGGCAAAAAAACTAAATTGCAGTCAATGTCTTTAAAATAACAAAAATACTGTAGTTAATATATTATACAAAATGTGCAATCACTTTTATGAACAGGATTCAAGATGACACTGAAAATACAAGCATATTGCTATCATAAACAAAAGTTCTGTCTGATTTATTACTAAACTGACACATATCTTAACACCAGTACCAACATCTACAAATGATACTAGTCATACTTCAGTTACACCTTTAAATGTATTATATATATATATATATATATTACCTTTTTAACCCCTTAAGGACCAAACTTCGGGGGGGGAAAGGAATCATGACATGTCACACATGTCATGTGTCCTTAAAGGGTTAAAGTAATTTTTCTAACTTTTATATTTTTTTTATTTGTCATTAACTACTGATGATTAATAATTCAAACTTATATATAGAACAACCTACAATCAAAGATAGGGAGAAAGACCTATCTAGGGTGTAAACTGTAGAGGGTTATAGAGGTATGTACGGCTTAACCTTTAAATACAAATATAAAGAACTAGTGAGACTGGAACCCTCCATAAAAAGGGTATGGAAATCAGACTCACAAAAGATACCCCAGAATTAGTAACAATATAAGGTAAAACAACTTTATTGGAGAAAAAAAACTAACTACTCACAAAAAAGTAATATAAAGAAGTCTAGGAAAAAGTGATGGAGTGACTCCTAGCTCAAGGGTAGGCAACCTTTTAGTAGCACTGTGCCGAAATAAGAATGTGATGTCCCATAGCGTGCCGGTCCTATATTTTTAAATTGCGGTGTGTATGTTGCCGTATTCCGCTTGTATTAGTTATACTGCAGTTGCTTTGTATTTGTGCGTATATGAGCTGTTATATTGTATATGTTCACAAGTAGTTTGTGGTGTTGTGTATGATACATATGTATGGGGGCTGTATGTTGAATTGTGTGTGTGTGGATGGATATGTCACAGTGTGTGTATATGAGGGGCTATTTGGGGTATTGCATGTGAGAGGCTGCATGTGGGGTTGTGTGCAGCAATGTGGATTGTTAGTGATGTTGAGTTTGTGCGGATTGTGTGTATGTTTGTGTGTGGGCTGTTCATATTATTTGTATGAGGGGAGGGTAATTGTGCATTTCTGTGTATATCTAGCAGTGTGGGTAGCTTCCCCTGGGTTCCAGTGGGGACCAAGCTGGCCATGTACAGGTCAAGGACAGGAGCTGAACCAGCTGCTGTGGGCTGCTCTACTACAGTGTGGATTCCCATTCACAAGTGCTGGGAGGAAATGATCTGAGATCACTTCCTCTACGTGCTGCAATGCATAAATTGAGGATTGTCCTTCGCCACCTTTTCATATTCGCAGATATCTGAAGTTTCACTGTTTGGCTCTGGCAGCCTTGAGTGCCGTGCAAAGACACCTCGAGTACCGTGCATGGCACACGTGCCATAGGTTGCCTACCCCTGTCCTAGCTCTTGGTATTAAATGTATCTGGTGAGCTCCAC